TCGTTGTCAACGCGTGGCCTGGAATCTTCTCCAGGTGCACTCCGGAGGCAGCAGCACATGTCACGTGGTATTGTTGCAAATTGTCACAAGTATATTCTTGTGTCTTTCGCTAAAGTGACGTAGATAGGTTCAAAGAAAAGAACAAAAACTAACAAAAAAAACTACGACGTTTCGATCGCTTGTGTTGCGATCGAAACGTCGTGTCCCATGAAGAAGGGCCAATGCTCGAAACGTCGCCCATCGTACACTTTATCCCCCCCCTTTTGAGGCCGCAGTGTTCTTGATGATATGCGTCGAGTTTCGCGTCTGAATGTTGCGCCGTGTGGCGGCGGCGATGAGCGATGGCAAAATATGCCCGGAGGATAAAATTGAGCGTGTTTGGCGAGATAGGATCGAGTGGGACACGGGGCAATCGAGGGATTGGTTCCTCACCGGCATTAACTATTTAACTATCTTTTAACTATTTTTTTACTATAATTTTTTATTTCACCAGGTTAGGCCGGCAGAGCTAGATAGCTCTTTTTCAGAAATGACCCGCCCACGAATGACAGTCCAACCAAATGTCTCATCGCGTGGAAATTTATAGCAGCCAAATACTCTAAACGCGTGATGTTGATTCTAAATGTGGAGGTACAAAAAAAACCTCAGGACCCAGAGAAAACCCCACGTGACCACGGGCAAGGAGACACGCAACTCCAAATATACAGCAGCAAGCGTCGGTGTCGGGACCGAACCCACGACCTCCCGTATACCAGGCGAGGTAGTTAACATCTGTGCGCCCTTTAAACATCCGGCAGTCACACGTAACACGACTCCCCTTGGGTGTCAAGTCGCCTCTCCATGTTGGGCCTCGCTCGTTTATTTATTGATTTATTAGTAACGCAGACAGGCCCCGCGTGCGTTTGCTTCCAGCATCGGTGCACGTGGGAATTACTCTCTGCCCATGTTTACACGATGAGCTCGATTCCCCACCTCTCGGCGTCGGAATTTTTCATCTTTCTCCGCCGGGAGGGTTCCTTTTTTTTGTTTTGGAGCAAACGTGCTGGACGTCTCGTTTTGCCAACGGTGGGGGTGCGGGCAGGGGGGGGGGGTGGGAATCACCACCGAGGTTTATGAGTTGGAGGCATTTTGTCGAGATGTGAATCTGGCCCAAAATGCACACGCTGGTGGGAATGCAAAGCGGGGCGTCCATGGCATGGCTGGAATTTAGTTGACGGTGCGTTGCAGCTAATTTTGTTTACGCTGAATCGTGTCCGGTTGGGCGGTGCCGCGGAAGGGCCTCTGACCCACGGTGTTGTGAGTCACAAACGCAGCCGGGGTTTGATCGAGCCCCCCGGGTAGATAAAGTGGGTACCACTTTGTGGAACTCCAGCAGTGCAGTGGTGGGTCACTCGCTATCCCCTGCCGTCTGGATCTCATTTCCTCCAGCCCTCCGTGCTGTTGACTTCCTGCCTTTAATTTTGTTTTCCATTGATCCCATCCAGACTGACTGCCTCTCTCTTCAACGTAAATATCGCCACTGTGCTCTGTACGGTGTACCGAGACGCCCTCAAATTTAAACATTACCTTAAGTCGCATTGCGTTGCTTTTGCAGTTTGTTTCTGAAGACAAATGTAGAACTTTTATGCTGCCGTGTAGCTCTCCGCTGTGTACGTGTGTACTGTATGTTGAACTTCTTTCGCACCGCACGTAGCCAGCCAGGCTAATCAGAGGCGATGGGGAGGGACAACATCTAAACGCGCAAAGCATGTCGGGCAATACTGCTTGTTTGTGGGTGACGTCAGACGTTTTAGCTCCATGTGCTGCAAGTGTCTTCAGTGACTTTGAGGAACTCAATTCGGTTCAACGTCATTCACAAAGAGGGAACAGCTCCCAACGCGCGGAGCGAAACGTCCCAATATCTCCCGAAGAAACTAACGGTAAACTACTTTTTTTATTTTACCAGCAAAGGCTCACCGAGCTATATAGCTCTTTTTTCAGAAGCGACCTGGCCACAAATGATAGCCCAATTCAGTGGCTTATCATGTGGACATATTATCAGCCAAATGTCCTAAACGTACGTTGATTCTGAATGTGGAGGTAGAAACTTGGAGGACCTGGAGAAAATCCCACACGATCACGGGGAGAGAGGCACGCAAACTCCAAATATACAGCAGCAGGCGTCGGGGTTGGGATCGAAGCCACGACCTCCTGTACACCAGGCGAAGGAGTTAACATCTCGCCACCATGGCAGCCCGAATTAACACGCCGGCACTACCCCCCCCCCCCCAACAAAACCCCACAATCGGAGAGCCGTGGAGCGCAACGGAGAACTCGCGCGGCCACATCGCACAAGGCGGCGATTGAACAACAGCCGCATTGAGGTTTTCGGTTGTGGGGGGGGGGGGGGGGGGGAGATAGTGGGAGTGAATCGCTCTCGAGTTGTCATCGCCGTGGGTCGTAGCTGAAGGTGAACGATGGTCCCAGGTCGCACCTCGGGCGCCGCGGCGAGCGAGCACTGTGAAGAGGCGGTGGAGATTGAAGGGGGCAATCAGGGCGGCAGGAGGACGTTGACGGTTGTGAACGGTGGCGCGTTGGAGCAATGTCGGGAGTGTAAAAAATAAAATCATTAAATAAAAATAATTTATTAATGACAAGAAGAAGAAGAAGAAGACGATGAAGAAGAAGACGAAGAGGGAAGAGGAAGGAGGAAGAAGAAGAGGAAGATGATGATGAAGAAGATGATGAAGAAGAGGTAGAAGAAGAAGAGGAAGATGATGAAGAAGATGAAGAAGAGGTAGAAGAGGAAAACGATGAAGAAGACGATGAAGAAGAAGACGATGAAGAAGAAGACGATGAAGAAGAAGAGGTAGAAGAAGAGGGAAGAAGAAGAAGAGGGAAGAAGAAGAGGAAGAGGAAGAAGAAGAAGACGGCGCGACGCCCGCGGAAATGTATGAAAAGGACTCACAGCGCGGTGTGTGCCGTCGGTTCTGCTGCGCGCACGAGCGGCACTCTTCATGGTCACGATCGCTCTCTCGCGCCCTCGCCCCAGCGGGCACGGGGTCCGCGTGGCATGGCGCGTCGGGGATATTTCAAACGCTGCTGGTCGCGAAAGAAAAATAATTTTATGAATAACTTAGCAGCTGCAATTTTGAAAAAGCAGTCCCAAACCGGCGACTGCACGCACTTTGTATAAAATATTGCGTTACAAAAAAATGTGTAGACGGACAATGACTTGGACTTACGCCCCTTTCTCGATCCACTGCTGGATGAAAGCCTGCCCCCTCGCCAGTCACGTGAGTTGTTTGACCTTTCCTGCCGGTCGGTGAAGGTGGGAGGGCCAACGACAGATTTTGGATATCGCTTGTCACTGATGTAAGCCGTGGGTGGGAAATTAACTTGGGCCACCGTGCTCGCAGAGCAGCGTGGACAAGGACTGCACCGCCGATTTCCCCAGTGCAAAGGCAAAGGTCCCCCATGTATCCTTGACACAATTTTGGGGGCAAGTGCTGCTGGCCAGCAGACAGCTTCGCCCCGCTGACTGATCTCCAAACCCGCAGTGAGGACCCCATAGTGTAGATGGGGCGCTCTTGCTCGTAACGTCTCATAAGCCAGTCACATTTGTTTCCCGATCCTGACTTGCTTAAAAAAAACGCCGCGTAATATTTTGTATAGAAAGTCAACAGACTGATGGACTAAAATATCTGGATATCTATGAGTGGAGATACAGAGTGGAGTTTTGCTTGTATTTGACATATCACCCGGGATTAGTCTGGATTTTTTCCTAACTAAATATAATAATGATAACAATTGTATGCATAAAGTGCCTTTTATCAAATGATTTTGAAGCGCTGCACAAGACGCAGCAGACACTCAGCATGCCAATAACTTACGAAAAAAAAACTAAGAAATGCTCCACAAACAAACAAGTGCAAAGATCCATTTTGCTGAATGAATTAAAATCTGAATAAATGCACCTTAAATAAAGTAAAATCTCATTTTTGAAAAACTCTTCTCAGGCTCAACGTGAGCGCTTTGTCTCCGTGGGTGTCTGCGTGCACACGTGCGTCTTTGTATTTGTGGGGGTGAGCTCGCCGTGCGACAAACACGGCGACCCGAGTTCGACTCCCGCTCACGGCCACCAACACCGGTGACGGTTATCTGAAACGATCCTGTGCCTCCCCTAGGTTGACTCGGCCTTGACTGAGTACCTGGTGCGGTGTGTAATCCTCGCCACGAGGCAGACTAAGGCGGCCACCCACCCTGTCGTGTGCCTTGCCGACCTTCATAGGTGTTCGATAACTTCACTTGCCCCAAAAGTCTATAGGGGGGATCTTTGTGCCTTTTTTTTTGTCCGCGTAATGAATCTCGTAAATTCGGCTGCACCAGAGAACACTGTTGTCCCTCCGCTATTTTCCCAAAGGCGTCTTCCTTTCCCTGGTGGGGGCTTGGGAGGAAGGGGGTTGAGGAAGGGCCACTGGCATTTAGACACGTGCCGTAACAACCCACCTACGCAGCGCTGTACTTGCCACGGTACCTGTGGAGCGCCGGGAGTCGACGACGCCGTGACATTTCGCACGCCGTGGAGAATGAAAAATAGATCCCAAATACGGCACGAGCGTATCGATCCGCGCGCGCGCGTGCACCGGCATCGCGTTGATGTGGCGGGTGCCCAGCTGTGATTGTGCCCACGTGTTCGTGTGTACGCACCGGGGACGTGTGTCTCGGTGGGGAGCGGCAGGGTGGCGGTTAGCGCGCTACCAACCCGGCGACCCAAATTAAATATTTCTGCTCACGGAGACGATTATCTGAACCGGTTCTGAGCCTCCTCTAGGTCGACTCAGCCGCAAATGAGTACCCGGTGCGGTGTGTAACCATCGCCACTGGGCAGACGAAGGCGGCCGTGGTGGTGCCAGCCACCCAGCCCCTCGTGCGCCATGTCGGCCTATCACAGCACTTGCCCCAACAGTTTGTTAAGGCTACACAGAAGGGCGGGGATCTTTGTCTTTTTTGCGTCCCAGGTCCCTGGACAAGAGGGTCGTGCATATGGCGCTGTCACGGTCCCGCGTGCTGCCGGATCCGTACCAGCCCCTGGCGGCGCCATGGCCGCTCCCGCGGCCCCTCCGAGGGGACGCGGTCGGCTGCAAGGGGGTCGACAGGGCCCCGGTGGTCACGTGTCCCCAGGTGACGGCCCGCTGCTCCGCGCCACCAGGTAAATGGGGCGTGGGGTCTTGTTGTTGTTGGTGAAGCCCGAGACGACGACGAGTTACAATCGGAGAAACGACTGTCACTTTTGCGTTGTTTATTTTTGTTCTTCCGTGAAACAGCAATTGGAAGAAAAATAATCGCATTAAATTGCGGAGATAACGAGGTCTCCCGTCAAGCAGCGGTGTTTCGGGTCCAGGAGTTTTATGTTTGTTTACTTGATCGAAGGAATCTAATAAATTCGCGTGATTGTAAAGTACCAAAAATGTGGGAATATTACACATGAACTTTGAAATATAGTATAATCCCTGCTCACTCGGGGCTTACAGATTAATGATGAGTACATACGCATGTACAGGGTGTTTTAAAAGTTTGGACCCAATTTCAAAGGAGGATATTTCACGATGGCAACATGTTACAATTACCCAAAAAAGTTACAAACGATTTAATGAGTTATCAAGTTTTACGAACCATTTTAAAAATGCTCTATGTGCCCTCCACCTGCTGTACGGACAACATCGAGACGATAGTTTAATTTGTCCCAAACGCCTCTCAAAGTATCTTCTTCCACTGAAGTCACTGATTCTGTTTTTGAGGTCATACAGATTAGTCGCTAATGGTGGCACAAAAACACCACGGTCTTTGATCTATCCCCACAAGACAAAGTCGCAGGGTGTAGTGATGTCTGGGGATCTTGGTGGCCAAGAGTGTAGCGCAAAGTCTTGGGGTTCCGTGCGACCTATCCAACGTTGAGGCAGTGTTGTCTTGGGAATGACTGAGGCTAGGGGCTGTTTGTGCGCTGGGAGAGGCATCTCGCAGTAATCATTTGAAACTCTATGCCCCGCCTTTTCAAGTGGAAAGAGTTTCATTCATGAGCGGTTCGTGATTGCAGAGATATAGCAATATCAAATTGGGTCTATCTTTTTTAAACACCCTGTATATTATACCTCTGTCACACCGTACGTAGACAACCGGGCTAATCGGAGGTGCGGGCTTAAGAACAACAAACGAAACACAACAATCAGTTCTGAAAAAATGAGTTTCGAATGTCGATTAAAAAAGTCGTTCATCGCCAGTCATGACCATCATCTATTCGCCGCTGGGTGAAAGCCTCCCAAATCTGTCGCCACCTCTTACGATCGCCGCGATGCAACGCTCCATGTGGTAGCTGCACTAAGCGGAGCTGGATTTTAATCCAGCTTAATTCAGCTCCGCTTAATTAAAATCCAGCGGAGAGCTGGATCTTAATCGAAGTCCTCTCGGGCGCGTCTCCCTCCTTTCAGTTTAACACGTGGTAGTTAGTTAGTAGTCGCCGTAGTTGTTAGTAATCGTAGTAGTTAGTAGTAGTCGTAGTAGTTTGTAGTAGTGGTCGTAGTAGTTGTAGTAGTAGTGGTCGCAGTAGTAGTAGTAGTTGTCGTAGTAGTAGTAGTCATAGAGGTAGTAGTAGTAGTCGTTGTAGTTAGTAGTTGTAGTAGTTAGTAGTCGTAGTTGTAGTCGTAGTAGTGGTTGTAGTAGTGGTCGCAGTAATAGTAGTAGCGGTCATAGTAGTAGTGGTCGTAGTAGTTAGTAGTCGTAGTAGTAATGGTCGTAGTAGTAGTGGTTATAGTAGTAGTGGTCTGAGAAGTAGTAGTCGTAGTAGCAGTGGTCGTAGTAGTAGTCGTAGTAGTAGTGGTCGTAGTGGTCGTAGTAGTCGTCATAGTAGTAGTCCTAGTATTAGTCATAGTAGTCGTGGTAGTAGTCATAGTAGTAGTAGTTATAGTAGTAGCAGTCATAGTAGTGGCCATAGACTTAGTAGTAGTAGTCGTAGTAGTCATAGTCGAAGTAGTTAGTAGTAGTAGTCGTAGTAATAGTCGTAGTAGTAGTAGTGGTCGTAGTAGTCGTAGTAGTCGTGTTTGTAGTAGTAGTGGTCATATTAGTAGTAGCCGTCGTAGTCATCGTAGTAGTAGTCCTAGTAGTAGTCGTAGTAGTCATATTAGTAGTGGTAGTAGTTGTAGCAGTAGTCGTAATAGTCGTAGTCATAGTAGTAGTAGTCGTAGTAGCAATAGTAGTTGTAGTCATAGTAGTCGTCATAGTCATCGTAGTAGTAGTCGTAGTAGTCTTATTAGTAGTTGTAGTGGTAGTAGTTGTAGCAGTAGTCATAGTAGCCGTAGTAGTTGTAGTAGTAGTCGAAGTAGTCATAGTAGTTGTAGTCGTAGTAGTAGTGGTCATAGTAGTTTGCAGTCATAATAGTTAGTAGTTGTAGTAGTAGACGTAGTAGTATTGAGTTAGATTGCGTAAATATATAAATGTGTCATTAAACCCGCCACCACCAGACACAGCCAATTAGTAAGGTTTGTCACGTAATTAAAACATGCCAATTAGTTAACTACATCAGCACACCGGTGTGTTGGAGTGTAAACCCACTACAACATTTACGATTCGAGTACCGTGACGTTTCGCCGGTATATCATTACAACAACCAGCATCATCAGGCGACAGCCACAGAGTTATGGAGAAATCCTCCTTCTGTTTCGGTCTTAAATAGAGAGAGAAATGTGACGTCGTCACTTGTGAGCCAATCAGGTGCGAAGACCAGAGGAGGGGAGGGGGTTAATGTCTTCATAAAAATTACAATGGATATCGATTATATATAATTATTGGTTGGCTGATTCACAGTTCATCAACATACAAATGTATGTACATTATGTACGTACATTCTACCGTTTTTGGGTCAAAAAATGTTCAATTATTGGCTGTTGCTCCATCGTTTAGTCTCGTCAACGCCCGGGCGATCGCCCCGTCAGGCTACGCATCCAGGCCAGGGCCTCTGTATGATATCTCTCTACGATGTCGCTCCTCTATACGATTTCTCTCTACAATGTATTTCACGTGCGGTGTCTCTCTTCTCTACGATGTCTCTCTATGATCGCTCTCTATGATGTCTCTCTTCTCTACGATGTCTCTCTACAATGTATCTCACGTGCGGTGTCTCTCTTCTCTATGTCTCTCTATGATGTCTCTCTACGATGCCTCTCCTCTCTACGATGTCTCTCTACAATGTATCTCACGTGCGGTGTCTTTCTTCTCTACGATGTCTCTCTATGATCGCTCTCTACGACGCCTCTCACGTACGGAGGGGAACAGCAAACTCCGCGAGAAATTCGACTTCGGCGCATGACGGGACCGCACTGACATCGGATTCTTAAGCTCCACTCATGTAGATGCATCAAGTCCAATTGATTTGTTCTGTGTCCCGGCACCTCTGATCAGGGTGGTTGGATTACGTAAGGTGCGGCCACTACAGGCGCTACATTCACTGCCGTGTAAAATAGATGATTGGCTGGTGTGCTCTTTTCTCTCTTCTCTTAGAGTTATAAAGCGCCTTCATCCAAGGCTCTTTGCAGCAATTAAACATTTTGCACGCAAGCAGATATAGTGGTTGAGAAAAACGGTGGGGTTATTGTTGCAAGTGGTGGTGGAGTTTGGGCGACGGTTACTATAACAGGCGGGAGGTTAGGATGGTGGGGTGGTGGGGGGGGGGGGGGGTTAAAGAGGAGTTGGGGTAGGTCTGCTCGCAGTCGGGAAGCCGGGGGGCAGATGTAATCCCACACGTACATTCGTCTAGGTCAGGGGGTCGGCAGAAACCTGCGCCTCCGTAGCTCTGCGCGTGCGGCTCTTGAAGGGCGTTATTTTTTAATGACCGCCATCTCGTATTCACCGCAGTGCACTGCTGCTCTTGAAATATTTAGGGGTTGCTGTTTTTCTTCTTCTATTCGTTTAAACCGAATTCGAAAAGAATCGCCTCTCTTGTTAATTTCAGCCGCCGACCCCTCTGGTTCGGGTTCAGCAGGCGCAGTGCGGATACCGACCAGGCCACGTTAACGTGGCCCTTTCCCCCATAGTTTCGGTGATCTACGCTGCTGCTGCTGGCTCTGCCTTATTTCCCTGATGTTCCATGCACGGCGCATTGGGGAATCCTCGGATGAAATGCGCCTTCACGAATGTTAAATTATTGACCGTTACGTTCCGCAAGAGCGCCTTTCCGGCTCTTGCTGCAGGTCGCGACTGACTCCGGCTCCCCGCTGAGAAGCGGCGAGATTTAGCTCAAGGGGTTAACGTGCTTTTGGGGGGCGACCCACGCACGCAGACGACACGCTTGAGGAACACGTAAAGAAAACACAGCCCCCTTCTCGACGATTTGGCGCGGCGTTCACGACTTCGTAACGAGGTGGCTGGGCGGTTGTCAGAGGTCGAGAGCGTTGAGGCTCCTGGTTCAAATCTCAGGCAACCGCCTGAGATTTCAGCTGGGTTTCTCAAGTGTAGTCCATCGATGGTCTCAGCCCGACTATACGTGTGTAAAGAATCCTTAAGCTTGCTCAATTAATTGCACAATTATAATTTACCCTAATGGTTTTTTTTCTTTTCAACCCAGCGGAGTGCTCTGACCTCGCCAGCCAACCCGGTCACCTCGCCCGACCTCAATTTTCCATCCCATTTGTATTATTTCTTGTCTATATTCCCATCCGTGTGCACTTTCTTACATTCCATTGGCCTCAACATAACATTGCCACGCCATTCACACAGTTTGCACGGAAGCCGGTGACGCAGCCCTGCAGGTGGCGAGTTCGCCGCTTGTTGCAAGACGGTCGCTCAATGGCTCGGTAACCTGTGGCTCTGGAGCCGCATGCGGTGGCTCTTTGGCTTCCGCCTTGCCGCTCATTGGCTGACCCCTTTGCAAGCGGCCGTTTTTGTTTTATTTTTTATTTTTAAAGAAATAATAAAACTTTAGCGTTGAACATAATTTTTTACGCGAAGATAATTATCCTAAAAAAAATGGCAGGGAATGGGCCACTGTGGAATGTCTTTGGTGACGACCAAATGTAGAAACGGAGTTGGTAGCAAATAACTAAGGTGAGACGCAAACTAAGTATACGTAGTTTATTTAACGCGTAGGCTTTCGCGACCAATATCATCCATTATACAGGTTTTCTTGGGATAGATTTCGTAAATATATAAATGTGTCATTAA